CGACGGCCGCCCGGTTTCCAGGTCGGGGGGAGGGAGAGAAAAAGGAGCTGCTGGCAGGCAGTCGGCGAGACCCAGCCAAATTTTTCCCTCAGGCACCCAGTTCTAATGCCCAAACTGAGAACAAGTCTAGCCACTCTTCCCACGCCAGAGAAGAAGAAGGGAGAAAGCAGAAATTAAAAATAAGAAAGACTGGACCCAGGTGTTTTAAATATCCAGCTCCAGTAAGTGGAACCGGGGTGGAAGTCTACCATCCAAAAAAACCAAACAAGACTGGATGTCCTGCACCAGCTCTGGAACATCTCCTCAGGCTCCGCGTTTCCTGGTGAAATGGCCGTTTGTGCTGTGGGTGTCTGGAGCGTGCAGTTCAAGGGCTAGGACAGAAACGATCACCTTCCAGTTGGAACTGTGTGCTGACGATTAGGCACTGCTCAACTGTCAGGGCGTGCTTGGGTGTGGAATTGCTGCTGTGGTTGGTTGGACATGGTTGGACTTATTCTCCATTTGATGATCTTGATGATCAGCTGTAGGGTCTTAAGTGCAAGAAGTGGAGGATCTGGCAGGTTTCACGTGGACAGTTTTTACTGTCTCGTGGTCTTTCAAAGTCTTTAACAAAGATCATAGTTAAGGGATTGCATTGCTCTATTAGGACTGTATTTTGCTGAGTGGGACACAGATCTTCTTTCAGGTGGACAGCACTTACGTTCTCCTACGTGGTGTTAAATTATCGGAAGTACATGATGATTTGAATAGTATCATTGACCTTTTCTCCACCATTTTGCAATATCTGTCGTATTACTTTGCAACTTTAAGGATATTGCATGTCAGCTGTATTGCTGTTGTGACTCTGGCGTAGCCAGTGGGAGTTCTGTGAAGAACAACTTTGACCCGAAAAAGTTAGTGATAAAATTTTGCATTAGTAATTTCTGGGATGTGTAGAGGATCTTTGCCTGGTCGTCTAAGTTTTCTTTAGATGTTTGGATTAGTTCTAGAAAGACATAAAACTAGTACCTCTTAGGCTAATGGTAGCCATGCTGGTTTAGCTCCTACTCATCATTAAAAAATTCTGCTTTTTTATGATCTTTGTGTTTATTATAAGACGACGATGTTTGACAGTTGGATGTGGGCTGTGCATTGAGTACTACTGCGTGGCATACGAGTGATGTTGCTCAAGTAGTAACCTGGCATGGAGGTGTTCTGGGAGAGAGCAGACTTATAACCCAGATTGCAGTCAATTTTAGGCCCAGTCATTTTGCAGGCATTTGCATGGATGAATGTGAATTGCTAGTACTGTGGTTCAAAGCCTCTGAATCACTTCCTTTCTTTGTTACTCCATTTGAACTACTTTTGCTTATCATTGTATAATATGGAAGAATTGTATCCACCAGAACAGGTAGGTGGAAGTATGGCTATTCATTTCTTGTTGTGTGAGGTGTTTGGAATATGACCTGTTCAACAGGTCATGGTGTAAAATCTTTATCTATGTGTTGGACATGTGGGAAAAAGTATGTGCAGGGCTTAGATTATCAATCCATCTACATTTTGTATCTCCACTGTGAAGTTCTTCTTGATGGAGGTCAGAAGAAATGTCTAGAAAGCTGAAGAGTTTGTATGTCTAATAGGTAGCAAGTGTGTAGATGGTAGTAGCTTCATTTAAAAAATGACTCGGCTTTGCCTCCCTGGTCTTCCCCGTCCCAGAAAACCAACCGCATGAAAGGGACTCATTAGAAAGAAGCTCTCACAGCTGTGATGTCCCACACCAGTTAGCACGTGAGATGAAGTGCTTTGTGCCTTCAGAGCTGTCACCTCCGTTCTCGCTTGGATACACCATTCTTTTCAGTCCTCCTGAACAAGTAAAACATTATGTGGATGGCAGGATGATCGTTAAACAGTTTCAGGATTTTAGTTTGAAATACGTTGGGGCTATTGGTGTACATAAATAATTTGGGACTTATGGTGACATTCCAAAGGTATACTACACTCCTGATTCCTCTTTGACTCCATTAGTAATATCTGAGTCCTTCAAGGGCTCTTACTGACCTTCAGCAAATAAGACAATAATTACCTCAGCAATTTGGAGTATTTAATACTGGCTGCAAAATTATTTTTGTTAAAGCCAGTCATGATCTAGGAGCCATGATAAAGCACATTAAAAAGTACAGTGTGTATTACCTATACTAACTTCTCATATTTTGGTGGCACTCAAGAAACTTAAGTATAAAATTTTAAGTTTTGGAAATAGATGTGCATATTTATCCTGTCAGTTTATTCATTTTCTACTGTCGTGTTATTTTAAAAGGCTTTTCAACCTTCTAAACTTAAAGATAAATTCAATTAATATCTTTAAATTGAAGCAAAATAAGATCACAGACAAAATAACCTCAGTGTTTGGTTAACTAGGTGCCTTTTTCTAGTTAGAAATGTCTTCTAATCACCTGAAATACCTCCTATTATATTTCTTTTAGGACTGTGAAACAGGTACCAATTTATTCTAAATGAAAAAGAACACTCATAAAAGAACCATGGTGCATATTCCTTAGAAATAACGAACTGAAAATAAATGACTGACAAAAGGGTATTCACAGTGGCCTTCAATAAGGCAGCCCTGTCTTGCTTTATGATCCAAATACACTGTTGGATGCGTTCATAGGAAATCCTCGTTAATTTGGTAACAAACGGAAAGGGTAATGTATTTTCTCTTAAATGCCAAGGTTGTTGATTCACATTAAAGTTGTTGTCAGTAATTTAAAGTAATCTTTTGTATTTTCCATGTACAATTTAATTCTCACATTATCTGAACCCAAATAGTTCTCTCACAAAGGCTCTGGTATTAAAAGTATGTGAGATGGCTTTAGAGGGGAAAAAATTCAATATGAACAGTGCACCTAACTTTATTTTTCCTAGCACAGAGCATCCCATTTACTGGAATAAAATTCCACTTCATTGATGAATATATGAATCAGTTATCAGTGTTATAGAGATGCTCATGAAACTGACTTTGATGCTTTTTTTTTATTTAATTTTTTGGGGGATTATATACAATAAACACAATTAGACATTCAGGGATGATGATGTTGAAATCTGAAGTCTTATTTTAACATTGTCTCAGATTATATTACAACACCTTAGGTAAGTGTTCTAAAGATTATAGCTAAATCTCTGAAGGGGACCGTCACATGCATATATATCTGGATCACAATAGTAAAATCAGTCTTTAAAACTCAGCAGTTTTTGCATTAAAGTGTTGCTCTGTGTGGAAAAGTGATGTTTTAAAAAATGGCATCTTCTCACTGAAATGATACAATGCCCATGGAGAGGAGGCTTGTCCACCATAGTGACAGGTTTCAATTAAATCTTAGTCTGTTTATGCAGCTGTGTAAGAATGAGCTGCAGTTTATTTTAGCTCATGTGATCCGCCAGAAAGATCATGTATTTCCAGATGAA